CGCTCACCTAAGTCGTCAAGCAGGAAGGTCAGCCAGCGGAGCTCCTGTGCCGCCATGGCACCCGCGTAGATCTCAGCCTCGCAGCTGGACTGGGTAACAGACGAGGAGCGGGTAGCTCTCCATGAAACAGCATCTGAACCAAGGCTAAAGCAGTAGCCCTGAGAGGACCTGAGAGTCTCAGCATCGTCTGCCCAAGAAGCGTCTGTGTGTCTAGTAAGGACCACTAGCATGCGTCCTCCCAGCGGTAGCCCCATGCCCGATGTACTTGCAAGATAACGCAAAACCCTCCTAGGGGCAGACCAGTGCTGTGGTCGGTGTTTGCCTGTGGCCACAAAGCGAGCCAGGATGCTGAGAGGGTATGCGAGATCTGGGCGAGTGCAAGTCATCCGGTACATGAGGCAACCCACCAGCTCTGCGTACGGACCACTGGGCTCTACTGACTCCTCGGGAACACGAGCTGAGAGCCTGTGGTCTAGTGGCAAAGGTGTGGGCTGTGCAGAGGAGAACTGAAGACCGAACCTCTGAAGGACCTGGCACACCAAGTGTGATTGTGAGAAAGTAATGGTGCGCGCAGCTCTGTCCCTGGAGATCTGCAACCCAAAGTAGTGGCGCAATTCTCCTAGGTCAGTGCAGGAGTGTCTCTTCAGCAGCTTGGCCTTCATGAAGGCCAGCGCGTCCCTGTCTGCAGTAGCAAACACCAGGTCGTCTACTTAAACAAGGATGTAGAACGGGGTCTGGCCAGCACGAAAGAAGAGTGAGGGGTCGGCAGAGGTGATGAGAAGAACTGTAGGTCAGCTAAGGTAGCACGCAGCTTGTCGTGCCACTCACGAGGCGCCTGTCACAGGCTGTAGACTGGGCGTCGGAGAAGCCACTGGGTCCCAGGAGGGAAGGTACCAGTAAAGCCTTGCGGGCGGCGCAGGTAGACCTGCTCGTGTAGGCTGCCCTGAAGGAAAGCTGTGGAGAAGTTGAGGGAGTGTAACTCGTAGTCGCGCTGTGCTGCTACGTGTAGCAGAGCCCAAAGAGTAGTCATCTTTGGGGTCGGCGTAAAGGCTTGAAAGAAGTCCACCCCCTCACGCTAACTAAAGCCTCTAGCCATGTAGCACACCTTGAACACAGGCGGCTCTCCAGGGGAGCTCTTCACCTTGAAGAGCCAGCGACCATCAACTACGTTCACCCCAGGTGGGGGAACTGCGTCGACGTAGGTGCCGGTGGATCTCCAAGATGCCAACTCCTGCTCCATGGCAGCTATCCACTAAGAGGCCCAGGGTCCCGAGGTGGCCTCAGCGTAGGTGCGAGGGGTCAGGATGTCGAAGGCGTCTGGGTCACCCTCAGGGACTAGCAGTATGGAGCAGAGATGGGGAGCAGCCTCGGACAGGAAAGCAAGCTCGTACTGCCGGTCCTCCAAGACGTCATTGCCAAGGGCAGGATCACCCCCAACGGACGGAGGACAGGCAGGGTCAGAGACTAGAGCAGTGGCGTAGTCAAGGCGGCGGATAGAGGCAAAGTCAGCCACAGCAGCGACAAGAGCGTCAAGACGGACCCGAACTGGGGACGAGTCCAGAGGAGGGAACACAGGGCCGTATATATGAAGAGGAGGAGACGGTCAGGGGAGGGAAGGCTGAGCAGGCGGAGGGTGGAGCACCACCGAGCAGCAGTCTCAGTAGCAGCAGCAGGTTCCACCGCTTGACTAGCAGCCGTTGCAGCAGCACCAGCCGCAGCAGCCACTGCAGCAGCAGCAGCCGCAGCGGCGGGTTGGTCGCCTCCCGCCCGGGTGGCCCGGCACTGGTGGCGGTGGCGGTCGCGGTGGTCGTGCACGTGGCGTGACATCGGGTGGTGGGTCGGGCGATGGGCGCTGCCAGTACCAGCTCCATACCGGTCCTCGCCGTGGCCTCGTATGCGGTAAGTTCGGTCACACCCCCTCCTGCTGTTTTAGTCGCCTGGATGACCTGTTTCGTCTTCGCTTCGCCTCGTCGCCCAACCTCCCTGACTGGCTCAGTTTGCTCTGTCGTGGTGTTCAGATCTTTGATATGGACATGGATGAGATTAGTTCTGCATTGTATGTACTGTATGTCGATGACTCTAGTCTGATTGGTTCCACTTACCCCGTGCTGCCTCGCGTAGGTGTGCCTAGCTCAGACCCCCCTGCTGCGTCAGGCGTAGGATCAATTGCTTTGTTTAGCCTAGGCTCCTCTCCCGCGTCTTCGACCGCTGCCGCCACTGCTATGCTCTCCTTCACCTTTTTCTCCGGTGCTTCCCGATGCCTCTTCCGGGACTCCACTACTCTCACGCCGCTTGTCGCTCCCGCCACAGTTTCCCTGGCTGACCCTTCCTCAGGCCCTATCGTAGCTCGTAGCTCCACTACCCTTCCCTGTCCAGCGGCTCCTTTGGGCTCCCTTACAGGCTTGCACATTCCCTCGTTCTCTAGGAACCTAGTTGGCGGCTGCCTTCAGGACCTTGGCATCACCACTATGTTCCCTGGTCACGAGCGGTACGCGGTCTGTGCCAAGGACACCACTGGTGCTCCCCTCACCACATTCCCCCGGGACCCGGTGTCCGGCTTGTTCACGCTGGACACCGCGCCCCCCCCAGAAGGGACGTCTCCCCAGGTGACTGTGTCTCCTCAGGTAGCTGCGGCTTGCTCGTGCCGGTCGCTTACTCACCCGACACTCCTGTGGCACCACCGTCTAGGTCACCCTGCCCTCCCTCGTCTTCGTCATATGTCTCAGCACGGTCTTGTTTTAGGTCTCCCTGGGTCGTTCCCCGTGATCCCCGCCTCACCTGCGCCGCCATGCACCCCTTGCGTCGAGGGCCGGCTCCGCTGTGCCCCTCACTCCTCCTCGTTCCCCCCCACCACCGCACCCTTGCAGACCTTGCACATGGACGTTTGGGGCCCTGCCCCCGCCCATGGGCCGCGTCCTGAGTGTCACTTCCTCGTCCATGTTGACGACTACACTCGTTACACTACCGTGTTTCCCTTGGAGTGGAAGGCCGACGTGCCTAACGTTCTTATCCCGTGGCTTGTCTCTGCGCGTGTGCACTGCGGTCTCCCTGTGTTGCGTCTCCACTCTGACCGTGGTAGCGAGTTTGCCTCTTGTTGCCTTGGGCGTTTCTGTCGTGCAGAGGGCATCACCCAGACGTTCACCTTGCCGGACTCCCCGCAACAGAATGGGGTCGCTGAGCGACGCATCGGTTTGGTCATTGAGGTGGCTGGTACCCCCGCGCTCGCGGGTCTCTATGGCAGACAGGGTGTCCACAAATTCAGTGAGGGTGAGTTCTGCGGGGTGAGTACTCAGATAATGATTGCGGGCAGTAGCAAGGCGGTCAGGGAGTTGGGTGGCAAGCAGGTAGAGGGTAGCGCAGAGGGGGGGCTGGAACACGCGAAGCTGGGCCTCAGTGCAGGCCGAGCACCAGGTCGAGTCTAGCGTGCACAAGTGGGCGGCTAGGTCAGCGATAGTGTGGAAGGACGCAAGATCAGGAAAGAGCAGAGGCATGATCAGGCGACTGACAGAGGTAGAAGACGCGGTGGAATAGCGCGCAATAACAGCATCTAAAAACAGCATCTGGAATAGCGCGCAATAACGAACGGGCGTGGGGGCCGCTAAGGGACGGGCGCGGGGGCCGCTAGGGGACGGGCGCGGGGGCCGCTAGGGGACGGGCACGGGGGCCGTTATGGACGGGCGCGGGGGCCGCTACAGTACGGGTGCAAGGGCCGGCTACGGGGCGGGCGGCTAGGACCTAGGGCGGAAGCGCTTGTGGGAGAGCGGGACCTAACCTACTATGATACCATGTTAGAATGCAAGAATGAAACTAGAAGGAGAGAGTACAGGGGAATATAGGCTAGTGTGTTGTACCCTCTAAGGCACAAACCTATATAGTCTACAATAACATACTAAGTTATGTTTGACATTGTCGGTTGGTTTTTTACGTTGTGAGATCTGTAGTTTAATCATTGTTGTTTTGCGTGCTCTCAAATGCTTATAATTGAATCATACACATGAACATTGATTTCCAGAGTAGCAACTACAGCTACACCCGGTGTCTCGGCTTTGATAGAAACATTCCCATCGGTTGAGGATCAGAGGTGGGGGGGAGGGGGGAAGCGGTGGTGATGGAGGTGGGGGAAGTGGACCATCCGACCCATCCCCTCTTCAAGTCCAGATAGTGCCTCTTTAAAAGGTGCCTCTTTAAAAGGGGCCTCTTGAAAAGGAGCATCTTTAAAAGGCGCCTCTTTAAAAGGTGCCTTTCTAAAAGGCGCCTCTTTAATTGGTGCCTCGTATTGGTCTTCCCCGTTTCCCCCATGCATCAGCATGGCCATCCGCTCTTTATGTCCTAACAGCGCCCTTGTATCCTCCTCCTCAGCGTGGGATGCCAGGTGGGCACGGACGTGGGGGGGGGAAGAGGACTCCTGCGCCGCCTCAGGCGGCGTTACTTGCTGCTCTCCCTGCTGCCGCTCGCGCCCTAGCATCGCCACCCTCTCTGCGTGCCCCGAAAAAGCTGCCCTGTCTCCAGCTTCGTGGGATGCTAGGGGGGCAAGGACGTGGGAGGGGGGGGACTCAGCCGCCCCAGGCGTTACTTGCTGCTCTCCCTGCTGCCGCTGACGCCCTAGCATCGCCACCCTCTCCGTGTGCCCAGAAAAAGCTGCCCTGTCTCCAGCTTCGTGGGATACTAGGGGGGCAAGGACGTGGGAGGGGGGGGACTCCTGAACCGCCTCAGCAGTTACTTGCTGCTTTCGCTGTTGTCACTCACGCCCTAGCATCGCCACCCTCTCTGTGTGTCCCAAAAAGGTTTCCCTCTCTCCAGCCTCGAGGGATGCCAGGTGGGCATGGACGTAGGGGGGGGAGGAGTACTCCTGAACCGCCTCAACCGTTACTCGCTGCCCTCCCAGCTGTTGCTTGCACCCTAACATCGCCACCCTTTCTGTGTGTCGCAGAAAGGCCTCCCTTTCGGTGTGTCCCAAAAAGGTATCCGTTTCTCAAGCCTCATGCAATGCCAGATGGGTGCGCGAGAGAGGCTCGGTGCCTTCGAGAGAGACGTGCGCCTCAGATGCTGCTTGCTCTCCTTTCCGCTTCCCTCTGTCACCCAGCATAGCCACCCTCTCTGTGAGACCCACAAAGGGCGCCCTCTCCTTGTCCTCATGCGATGCCACATGGGCGCGCGAGAGAGACTCGGTGCCTTTTTTAGTTAGGCGAGGCGGGAGACGTCAAACCAAGGTGACATTTTTAGTTGAGGTGACTCAAAAGGTACTGACTGGGGGCAAGGGACCTTGCAAGTTGCAACTAGTTCTGGGACAAGCAACTGGGAGGGAAAAGGGTTCAGGGGGACAGAGAAAGGCGTTTCAGGGTGGATGATGAAAGATGATGATGTGTGACCCTGATGTCACGCTCACATGATGCTGACATCACACTCACATGATGCTGAGGTCCGGCAAGGCGCTGGTGAAGATGGGAGGGAGCGATCCTGACAGCTGATTGGTCGAGAGGTCTCTGTGGGAGAGAGATTAATGTGGATGTGCGGATATGGGCAGAGCGGGGAGGTGAGTAAAGGAATTAGAGAATATTCCCCCAGTTGAAAGAAGAGGGGTATCGCAGTCGCTGACTTTTGAGTCGACTCAAAAGTCACCTCACAGGACGAGAGTCTAGCTTTGAGGCGCCTCAAAACTAGTCACTTCTTATGTGGGTGTGCGGGCGGGTGTGAGTGAACCGGGAGGGAGGTGAGTAAAGGAATTTGATAATATTCTCCCTGTCGCTGGACACGGGCTGGGAAGCATGTCGTATGGAGAGGGATATGGCAGGCAAACAAATGGAGATTGATGGAGGACAAGTGAGATGCATATGGATGGGTTGGAGACATGAGTTAAGCTGACGGTTTCGGGTCTAGTGAGATGCATATGGATGGAGACACGTGCTTCACATGCTTGTCTTGTCTCTCTATGCCACGTGCTTCACATGCTTGTCTCTCTATGCCACGTGCTTCACATGTTTGTCTTGTCTTCCTATGCCACGTGCTTCACATGCTTGTCTCTCTATGACACGTGCTTCACATGCTTGTCTCTCTATGCCACGTGCTTCACATGTTTGTCTTGTCTCCCTATGCCACGTGCTTCACATGCTTGTCTCTCTATGCCACGTGCTTCACATGTTTGTCTTGTCTCCCTATGCCACGTGCTTCACATGCTTGTCTCTCTAAGCCACGTGCTTCACATGCTTGTCTCTCTATGCCACGTGCTTCACATGTTTGTCTTGTCTCCCCATGCTACGTGCTTCACATGCTTGTCTCTCTATGCCACGTGCTTCACATGCTTGTCTCTCTATGCCACGTGCTTCACATGCTTGTCTCTCTATGACACGTGCTTCACATGCTTGTCTCACATCTCATAGAGAGACAGCAGGTTGGACAGGTCAGATGGTATGGATCCTTCCAGGAAGTTGCCATTGAGTAGCCTGCAGGAAAAAATGAGGGGAATGAGGAGAAGGAAGTGGGGCAGCGATTTGAGGAGAAACCCAAACCCCAGCACTGCACTGCTAGTACTTAGACGAAGCGATACTACTCTCTAAGTAAACCCAGGATTGTGACAGGAGGCTGGAATGAGAGGAGACGAGGCTGGGACGAGACGGGACAAAGCTGGGACGAGACGAGACTGGTCACTGGAGGAAAGAGAGACACCATAACACAAAAGGCCTGTAAGGGAAGGGGCAAACGCCTGTGAACAGCAGCATAAGAGAAAACGCATGTATAATCTCTTGTAGGTCACTAAGAGATGTGCCTACAACGAGGTGAGCTCTTGAAGAGTGGAGAGGGCTGAGGGAATGGAGCCCATGAGGGCGCTGCAAGAGAGCGCTCTGGGGAGGTGAGAGGGCGGAGAGAGCGGAGAGAAGGCGGTGAGAGGATGGTGAGAAAGCGCTCTGGAGGGGTGAGAGGGGGGGGAGAGCGGAGAGAAGGCGGGAGGGGTGTGGAGAAGGACAGAGGGAGAGAAGAAAGTGCAGGGTAAGAGAAGCAGCATCAACATTAAGGGCCGATGGGGAAAACACGATTGGTTGATCCATATCAGGACGTGCAAGCATGAAGGGGCTATTAAGACGATCCGTGAGGCGCCTGTGCTTTTTAGCATTCTCCCTTAGAGTGGTGTCCTTGAGAATTCAAAAAAGCACAGCCGCCCTGAGGGGCAGAGGGAGGGAGACAAGGGGGGTGTGGGGGGGCCCATAGAGAGCCGTGAGGCGAGAGGTGCGTACAAGTGCTGCAGTCGTGTGAGTGCAGAGGGGGACGCAGGGAGGTGTTGTGTGACGTTGTAACGAGGTGGCTTCTGAGTCGACTCAAAAGCCATAGAGAGCCGTGAGGCGAGAGGCGTGTACAAGTGTTGCAGTCGTGCAAGAGCAGAGAGGCTAGTTTTGAGGCGCCTCAAAACGAGAATCTTATAACGCGGGTCACGTACAAGTGTTGCAGTCGTGCGAGCGCAGAGATGGACGCAGGGAGGGATGATGAAAAGCGGTTATTGCACGCCGAACTGAGCGGCGGAACGGGGTTTGAGGACAAGGGGCGTGTGGGGGAGGCGGGGGTGGGGGAAGAAGAAGGGGGTGTGGGGGAGGGCGAGAAGAGGGGGGTTTGGATGGAGGAAAGGAGGGATGGGATTTAGGCATGTCAAAATCGGACTGGGAGCAAGAGGTTCCGGAAGGCCGTCAGCTTATATGTGTGTCACATACGTATATGAATCTTTATCTACTCATGCCATAGCGATATACTGAAAGTGGATGAGAGGAAGTTACAAGTGGGTTAAAGAGAAAAGGTTGCCCAGGGTTGATGGAAGTGAGCCGGAGAGTGCGTTGTCGTCTAGAGCCCTGTGACACGGGAGTGCAATGAGAGGGAGATGAGAGGGAATTGAGAGGGCGATGAGAGGGAAATGAGAGGGCGATGAGAGGGCAATGAGAGGGCGATGATAGGGCGATGAGAGGGTGATGAGAGGGCAGCGGTATGCAGACAGTTCACACTCTCTCATTTCAAGATGTACACCGTAAGCTGTATCGCCTGCAGATACGCCGTAAGCTGTATCTCCTGCAGATACGCGGTAAGTTGTGGAGAAACAAATAAAGGAAGCGAAACTCTAGAGAGAGCTCAAGCACGCACGGGGGAGTGCAAGCAAGCGGCCCTCACTCTTCCACTCCCTAAACCCAAAACCCTGAATTCTGCACCGCACTTCTCTGCATTGCAATTCACAGCGCTCACAGGTGCTTCAGGGCTGGAAGCGGGAGGTTGGAGGGGATGGGCCCTGTGAGGGCATTGCGCTGGAGATAGCTGGCGGTCGGGGGAGAGGGGAGATTGTTTGTGAGAGCATTAATAAATACACTGACGGAAAGAATTGTCCACATGTTTTGCAATTTTCTGAATTTCCACAGTTAAAGGGCATTTGTACATTAAGCCTTAATTGGAGGCATTACCCACTATATGCACGCCAATCTAGGGACACAAAAAAATGCTTCACATTTGATGAAACTACTATCGTTAACAGTAAGAAGTATTCATAACCAATCACGGTGCATGTGGACAATTAGTTCCAAGCGGAAGCAGCAACTCGAACAACCCTTAAACTAGTACCTGGTCCACCGCCCTTTAGCCCTAATTACTGCTTTCACCCTCCTGGGCATGCTGTCGATCAAATTGGAGCACACCCCTGATGGGATCTTCTCCCACTCCTCTTGTACACGCTCCCACAGGTCCACCATACCAGTGGGAGGTGTCTCATGCTTACCCAGCTCCCTTTTAAGATGAGCCCAAAGATGCTCAATGGGGTTCAGATCAGGACTTCTTGCCGGCCACTCCAGGACCCCATACTCCTGCTCTTGAAGCCACTGCTGCACCACACGGGACTTATGCTTGGGGTCGTTATCATGCTGGAAGATCACATCCGAGGGGGTTAGCTTGTAAAACTCGATGGTATTCTTCAGCTCGTCTTGCAAAATGCTCAGATACAGCGGCCCGTCCATCCAACCATCGATTTTGCACATGAAACCCACCCCCTCAAACGTCACACATCCCCAGATCATCAAGCCGCCGCCCTCGTGTTTGACGGTTTGCTTGATCTGGTGGTGTTGGAGAGTCGTACCTTCACGAACCCAGGCGTACACGCGGCCGTCAGAGCAAAACCTACTAATCCTCGTCTCATCCGACCATATCACCCGTCGCCAATCATCTATGGTCCAATCCGCGTGGGCCTGTGCGAACACCAGCCTATCGCGGATATTTGAGCATTCTAGAATGCACACTCCATGCACGAAAGAGTGGTCACTGACAAGTGGTGGGTGCCGGCAGGTGGTGGGTGCTGGCAGGTGGTGGGTGCTGGCAGGTGGTGGGTGCTGGCAGGTGGTGGGTGCTGGCAGGTGGTGGGTGCTGACAGGTGGTGGGTGCTGGCAGGTGGTGGGTGCTGGCAGGTGGTGGGTGCTGACAGGTGGGTGCTCACAGTTGGGTTAAGTTAGTGAGCTTGCCAACAGCCGAGGGGACAGAGCCGGTGAGGAGGTTGTAGTCTGCGTGCCTGCAGGGTAGGAGGGCACGCGTTGGGAGCATTGAGCACACGGGGCGTGGGGTCCGTGTGCGCATGGGATGCAGGGGGTGCAGGGGTGCATGGGGTGCAGGGGTGCATGGGTGCATGGGTGCATGCATGGGGTGCATGGAGTGCATGGGGTGGGGACAGAGTGACGACAAAGTCGCTAAGGGTGAGGCCAGCGTTTGGAGACTAAAGAAGGTGTCACGGGCAGTGGTTAGGCGGTCAGGGAGATGCGTGGCTAGGATATAAAGCGTCGCGCCGAGGGGGGGAGGAAGTACAGTGAGCTGAGCCTCAGTGCTAGCAGCGCGGTAGCTAGTCTCTACAGCGCACAGGTGGGTGGCGAGATCTGCGACAGTGGGGAAGGAAGCAAAGTCAGTGAAGAGTAGGGGCAGGAGGAGACGGCCAGCAAAGGGGGAGGAGGGAGTGGAATAGCAAGCAATAACAGCGTCTAGGTACTCCTTCTCTGTCTCTAGGGCCTGAAAGCGGGGACTCGGACAATGGGAGAGCGTGACTGATAGCTAGCAGCGCAATGGCGCCACGAGAGAGAGCGGGCGAGCTCAGCAGCGGTGAAAGCCTCACCCTCCGCATGCGTGGGGTTGTCAGGTAGGGCAGCAGGCATGGGGGGGCAGGGCAGCTTACCGTGGACATGGATGGCCATCCTGGCGCTGACCCTTCAGCTGGCGACGCAGGTCGGCGAGCCACGCCTCGAAATCCACCGCATGACCCTCCGCATCCAGGTGGAGAACGGCGTCCATCACGCACAGCTACAGCAGCCGGAGAGCTTTGGGGGAGGAGGAGTAGGGAGCAGGTTGGTGCGATGGAGTGCGGTGAAAAGCCGTGGAGTGTGGTGGAGTGCGGTGGAGTGCGATGGGGTGCGGTGGAGTGCGGTGGAGTGCGGTGGAGCATGGTGACGCCACGGGAGAGGAGACAGTCGGCGGGGGCGCCGGCGCCAAGGAGAAACCAGGGCCGGTAGCGAGCAGGGGCCGGCGCGGTGAGCAGGGGCCGGCGTGGCGAGCTGGGGCTGCGCGGCGAGCTGGGGCCGGCGCGGCGAGCTAGGGCCGACGTGGCGAGCTGGAGCGGCGCGGCGAGCTAGGGCCGACGCGGCAAGCTGTGGCGGCGCGGCGGGCTGGCGCCAACGGGGCGAGCTGGGGCCGGCGGTGAGCTGAGGGTCTCACGGCGAGCTGGGGCCGTCGCGGCGAGCTAGGGCCGACGCGGCTAGCTAGGGCGGCGCGGCAAGACATGGCCGACGTGGCGAGCTGGGGCCAGCAGCGAGCTGGTGGTCACGCATCGAGCTGGGGCCGTCGCGGCGAGCGAGGACGGCGCGGCGAGACGGGGCCGACGCGGCGAGCTGGGGCCAGCGCGGCAGGCTAGGGGCCAACGCGGCATGGCGAGCTAGGGGCTGATGCGACGCGGCGTGGCAGGCTAGGGGCCAGCGCGGTGTGGGGGGCTAGGGCAGGCGCGGCGAGCTAGGGTAGGGGCGCTACGGTAGGCTAGGGCGGAAGCAAGCATAGTCTACGCTTCAAATTCATTGGTTAGGGTGGTGTGGTGGTGGTGGTAGTTGTGAAGCAAGCATAGTCTACACTCCAAATTCATTGCTTTGCAGAACCGGATCTGATCACATTGCCGTTCCATTCCATCCACCGTATAAATACCGTAAACGCCCGGATATAAGTAGCGTTTTATTGAGCACCCATTGGGTCTTTTTGGCGGGTGGGTCTTCAGTCGTGGTAATCGACTATGCAGACCCCCCCCCTTTTCAGTGGTGCCGGGATAAGACCCCCGTGTATTTTTTCCGTGACTCCGCAGCAAGAAGCTAGTACAGATGGAGGAGAGCGTTTTCCCGCAGCAAAAAGAAAATGCTAAGGGGAGCGAGCAAGTAAATTGAGAGGACAGAGAAGGGGGCTGCAGGGAAATATAAGGAGAAAGGGGTTCCAGAACAGGGCCCCAAATTGCAAACTTTTTACTCTGATTCAGACTTTTTTCATAGTTTTTTTGGGGGTGTACTCTGATTGCAAAGACTTTTTTTTGTACCTTACTCTGATTTTTCAGAGAACCTTTTTGTACCTACGCTGATTTTTCAGACATTTTTTACTAGTGTACTCTGATGCCTCAACCCTATATGGGGGGTTGACTCTGATTCTGTGTAATACCGAGATTTAGGGGGAGCGTGATTAGCGCTGCTACCCCTGTGGAGGGCGCTGACGTGATGCTTGCTGGGGGCTTTGTGAGGGCGCGTACTGTCCCTTCACCAAAATCAAAGGTCAATGTGTACTGGGGGCTGTGTGAAGGAGCTGATTGGCCCTTAACAAAAATCGAAGGCCAATGCGTACTGGGGGATATGTGAGGGAGCTGAATGGCCCTTGGCCAAAATCTTTGTGCTGGAGGCGGTGTGAGGGGTCGATTGGCCCTTCATGAAAAATTGCCAAAGTCTGCCGCGGGCTGTGTGTGCGAGGGTGCCTATTGGCCCTTCATGTGGTTGCCACCTGGATGGCGTTTATTTCCCTCCCTCCCCTCCCTGCAATTTCGATACTCCCCGCCCCAATTCCTATCCGCCCCATCCCTGAAAGTTTACGTGTACCACTACGTCGGCCCAATAAATTCAATTTTATTGGGCCTACATCGTGCACTCTGAACACGTATTTGCGTTGCATCTCACGTAAAATTTGTCGACGTCAGGAAAAAAAAATCCAGGAAATTTCACTCTGAACTCACTCGTAGCGCGAGCCAGGTCTTAGGTGGCGCGAAATTCTGCGATTTCGCCAGCACACAGACAGCTAGAGCAGAATAAGGGAGCATTCTGGAGCTCGTGTCAAAATAACAAGACCCAAAGTTGGGTCTGCAAACCCCGCGGCTCCTGCAGCCGCGGGTCAGCCTTGGGTCAGACCCGAGGTGCGGAATTACTCTAAGAGAGCTCCTGCTGGCATGCCAAGCCCAAGTAGTAAGAGGTCATTAGGGAAGTGTTCGGTGGATGAGGCTGAGGAGGTTATGCAGGACATTTATAGACGTGTAGTGTACAACAGTTTAAAAATCAGCGTAAAACAAATTAGTGACTCTGATTTATCAGACAAAAAATATATTGCTACTCTGATTTTTCAGACTTTTTTTCAGAGGCGAGTCTGATGCCCATACCAAGGGATGGGAGGCAAGTCTGATGAATCAGACACCTCCAAAACCAATTTGGGGGCCTGTTCCAGAAATAACAAAAGGGAAGACGGAGGTATCAGAATTGGAGAAGTGAATTATTGTTAGAGGGAGGGTACACATAGATATACCTAAGTGTTGTACCCTCTAAGAGGCTACCCTATACAGTCTATACAAACATGACAAATACACATGTTTGACACACCCCCTAGACTGCATAGGGGAATGTCCTAAACAAGCAGCTCAGGGAGGCACTACTAGTCCAACCTCTGAGACAAGGGTCTGAGAGACCAGTCAGAAGGAGTACAGACAAGGCAAGAACAAGAGCAGGGCGGCACTACTAGTCCAGCCACTTCGAGAGGACACAAGTCCAGTCTGAGTATACATATAAAGGACAGTACAAAGTCAAGGTCCTAGCAAGTGAGAGGCTACAGGAACTAGACCAAGCTGTACACAGTGCCGCTGATGATCTTTAGGCGCAAGCGCCTTCGTAAAGATATCAGCCGTGTTGGCACCTGAGGCCAAGTGTACTACGCGAGCCTGACGTCGCTGCTGTAGCTCACGCAGGAGGAAGTACCGCAGCTGAATAAGCTTCGCTCACCAGCTCTGCGTAGGGGCCGCTGGGCTCTACCAACTCCTCAGACACAGGAGCGGAGAGCCTGTGGTCTACAGGCAGAGGGGTGGGCTGTGCGGAGGAGAACTGAAGGCTGAACCTCTGAAGGACCTGGCGCACCAAGTGTGACTGAGTCAGGGTGATGGTGCGCGCAGCTCTGTCCCTGGAGATCTGCAAGCCAAGGTAACGGCGCAGTTCTCCAAGGTCAGTGCACGTGTGTCTCTTCAGCAGCTCTGCCTTCACGGAGGCCAGTGCGTCCCTGTCTGCTGTGGCAAAGACCAGGTCGTCGACGTAAACAAGGATGTAGAACGGAGTCTAGCCAGCACGAACGAAGAGTGAAGGGTCTGCGGAAGACGGAAAGAACTACAGGTCAGCAAGCGTAGCACGGAGAGTGTCGTGCCACTCACGGGGAGCCTGGCGCAGGCCGTAGACGGGGCGCCGCAGGAGCCACTGGGTCCCAGGAGGGAAGGTGCCAGTAAAGCCCGGAGGGCGATGTAGGTAGACCTGCTCGTGTAGGCTGCCCTGAAGGAAGGCAGTGGAGAAGTCGAGGGAGTGAAGCTCGTACTCACGCTGAGCAGCTAGGTGTAACAGAACCCGAAGAGTAGTCATCTTCGGGGTCGGAGCGAAGGTCTGGAAGAAGTCCACCCCCTCGCGCTGACTGAAGCCTCTAGCCACATAGCGCGCCTTGAAGACAGGCGGCTCTCCGGGAGGGCGCTTCACCTTGAAGAGCCAGCGGCCATCGACTACGTTCACCCCAGGCGGGGGAACTGCGTCGACGAAGGTGCCGGTGGATCTCCAAGATGCCATCTCCTGCTCCATGGCAGCTATCCACTGCGAGGCCCAGGGTCCCGAGGTCGCCTCAGCGTAAGTGCGAGGGGTCGGGATGTCGAAAGCGTCTGGGTCACCCTCAGGGACTAGCAGCATGGAACAGAGATGGGGAGCAGCCTCAGAGAGGAAAGCAAGCTCGAACTGGCGGTCCTCCAGGACGTCACTGCCAAGGGCAGGAGCACCCCCGACAGACGGAGGACAGGCAAGGTCAGAGACCAGAGCGGAGGCGTAGTCAAGGCGGCGGGTAGAGGCGAAGTCAGCGACAGCAGCGACAAGGGCGTCAAAGCACGAGGCCGGAACAGACTGGTCGGTAACGAGAGAGGCAAGGACGCGAGGAACAAGAGGACGAGCGGCACGAAGGTAGTCAGACAACAAGGGGAGCAACAACAAGGGAGGACGGAGGAGGCGACGGGAGAAGGGGAGGACGAGACGCGTGGGAACGAAGCAATATAGGGTGGGAGCGCAGGACAGGCGAGGCAGGACGAGCACGGGAGGGACGGTGAGACCAGACGTGCGACGGAGGAGTCGGGTCAGGAGACAGAGGGGGGGACACAGGAGGGGAACGAGGGGGGAGACGGGCCGGGGACGAGTCCAGCGGAGGGAAAACAAGGCCGTAGAGAGGGAGAGGAGGAGACGGTCGGGGAGGAACCGACGCAGGGTCGGGGGACGGCAGGCCGAGCAGGCGAAGGGCTGACACCGGCGGGGACTGCTGCTGCGGCGGCACAACGGCGACACCTGGACCGCAAGCTGCTCCTCGGCTACCCCCGGCACTCTCCACACCAGCACCCCCAGAGGGACCACCCCCAGGGCTACTGGGACGACCACCCCCAGAGTCAGCGAACGGGTGCTGCGACGGCGGCGGCGGCGGCGGCGGCAATGTCGGCTGCAGCGGCGGCAGAGGCGGTGGAGGAGGGGACTGGGGAGGGGACGCCAGGGGAGGGGCGGCTGGCGAGGACAACACAGGAGGGACACCAGAGTCAGAAGACTCCTCAACCGGGTCCACCGACGGAAGGGGGGTGACGTGGGACACACCAGAGGGGACGGGACGGGGAGGAGGAGGAGGAGGGGCAGGGACTACCGGGGAAGGAGGGACCAGGAACAGGGGGGGGGTAACCGGGGGACCACGGTGGGGGAAGCGACGGTAGTAGGAGACGGACTCGTCAAAGGTGATGTCACGAGAGTGAAAGAAGCGGTGAGACGGCGGGTGGTAAAAGTGCCAATCGGACGCGTCAAGGGGAAAACCGAGGAAGACGCAGGGAAGGGTGCGGGCAGTGAGCTTGTCCGTGCCGGAGGCACGGACGTGAGCAAGGCAGCCCCAGACGTGGAACGCAGACGCGTCACCAGGAGACCCAGTCCAAAGACGGGTCGGCGAAACCTGCGGCTGCTGAGGGTGCGGCCACAAGTTAAGCTGGTGAGAAGCGTAGCGTACAGCGAACGGCCACAGAAAATGGGGTGCACCGGCATGGATCATGGAGGTGCGAGCCACCTCCATGACCAAACCGATGCGTCGCTCAGCGACCCCATTCTGCTGTGGGGAGTCCGGTAGGGTGAACGTCTGGGTGATGCCCTCCGCACGACAAAAGCGACCAAGGACACCTGAGGCAAACTCGCCACCACGGTCTGAGTGAAGACGCAAGACAGGGAGACCGCGGTGGACACGCGCAGAGACAAGCCAGGGGATGAGAGCACCAGGCACGTCGGCCTTGCGCTCTAGGGGAAAGACTGTGGTATAACGAGTGAAGTCGTCGACAAGCACAAGGAAGTAGCGCTCTCGACGCGGCCCAGGGACAGGGGCGGGGCCCCAGACGTCCAGGTGCAGGGTCTGCAACGGCGCGGCGGTAGGGGGAAACGAGGAGGAGTGAGGGGCACGGCGAAGCCGACCCTCGACACAAGGCGTGCAAGGTGGGGCTGGGGAGGAGGGAAACGCAGGGAGAGAACCTGGGAGACCAAGGACAAGACCGCGCTGGGACATGTGACGCAGACGCGGGAGCGCAGGGTGACCTAGGCGGTGGTGCCAAAGGAGGGTCGGGTGAGTGAGGGACCGACAAGAGCAGGCAGCAGCAACCTGGGTGAGCGCTCCAGCCGGGGGGGTCACGGTGTCCAGAGTGAACAGGCCGGACACCGGGTCCCGGGGGAACGTGGACAGGGGGGCACCAGTGGCGGCCTCGGTACAGACAGCATACCGCTCGTGACCAGGGAACGTAGTGGTGACGCCAAGGTCCTGGAGGCAGCCGACACCAACTAGGTTCCTGGAGAACGAGGGGATATGCAGACCTGTGAGAGTGCCCGAAGGAACCGTCGGACAGGGAAGGGTGGTGGAACTTCGAGCGACTACCGGACCGCCGTAGGGGTCAGCAAGAGAAACGGCAGCAGGGACAGGAAGCGGCGTCAGGGTGGTGGAGTCGCGGAAGAAACACCGAGAAGCGCCCGAGTCCAAGGTGAAGGAAAGCGAAGCAGAGGCGTCTGGCGACAGAACGATGGTGGAAGCACCAAGACTACACAAAGCAGGGGATCCTACGCCTGACGCAGCAGGGGAGGCTAAGCTAGGCACACCTACACTAGGCAACAGTGAGTAATAAGCGGGAAGCACACTAGAGTCATCAGCATACATCACATGCAGAGCAGAAACAATGGCATCCATCTCAAGATCAAAAATCTGAATCTTACGACTAAGCAAACTGTGCCAGTCCGGGAGGTCCGGCGACGGGCCAAAGCGCTGACAAAAGAGGTCGTCCAGGCGACGAAAACAGCGGGGAGTCGAGTGACCGATCTTACCGCAAACGAAGCCACGGCGAGGACCGGTCTGGATCTGGTACTGACAACGCCCGCCGCCCGAGCCACCACTCGGCACACCACCACGCGCCCGACCACCGCCAGCGCCGGGCCACCCGGGCGGGAGGACACTCGTGTGCCGCGTCTGCGACGGCTGCTGCGGCTGCTGCGAAGGCTGCGACTGCGGCGGCTGCTGCGGCTGCTGCAACTGCAGGGGCGGCGGCTCAGCTGGACTGGGCAGGGTCTCCTCGTCTGCTCCAGCACCAGACGACCCGACCCCACCACCACCCACTCCCGCACCCCCGCCGCCTCCGCCGCGCCCAACCTTGGGGCGGCGGCCCTTCCCCGAACGAAACTGCGCTGCAGCAGCAGTCTCAGCCACAGCGGCAGAGCCGTCGGAGAAGGTACACTGAGCGGGGGCACAACCCTGAAAGGTAAGAACCGGGACGGTACCGCTCGCCTGGGCGATGGAGCGGTGGCGGGTCTCTATCACAGTCAGGGTGTCGACAAAGTCAGTGAGGGTGAGGTCTGCGGGGTGAATGCTAAGGAAGTGGTCGCGGGCGACAGCAAGGCGGTCAGGGAGGCGGGTAGCGAGCAGGTAAAGGGTAGAGGTAATGGGCGGCTGGTGGGCTCTAAGCTGTGCGTCAGTGCAGGCAGCGCGCCAGGTGTCATCTATCGAGCGCAGGTGAGCAGCAAGGTCACAGACAGTGGGGAAAGATGCAACGTCAGGAAACAGCATCGGGAGGATCAGGCGACCCACCGAGGCAGCCGGAGGGGTGGAATAGCGCTTGATGACAGCATCTAAGTATGCCTGAGCAGTAGTGAGGGACCTAAAGTGAGGGCGCTCGGACGGGGGAAGGGCGTTGCTAATGGAAAGCTGAGCGACAGCATCGCGAGAAAGCCAGACAGAGCGCGCACGGGCAGTGGCAGCAGTGGACTCGCGCTCAGTGGGTGTGGAGTCAGCGGGCAGAATAGCAGGGGGGTCTGGGCAGGGGAGCGTACCGTCAAGGTGTGCGGAAAGCGGTTCACCATCCTGCCGCTGTCCAGTGAGTTGGCGGCGGAGGTCGGCCAGCCACGCCTCAAACTCCAGAGGCTGGCCTTCAGCATCGAAGCGAAGCTCCGCCGCCATCAGTAGCAGTGCAAGGCAGTGCAGCAAGGTGGAGTGCAATACAGTGCAGTCCAGTGAGGGGCAGTGCGGGGCAGTGCAGGGCAGGGCGGTGCAGGGCAGTACAGTGTGGTGTGGGGGGGAGGGAAACCGTTTCAGTGAGGGGGAAGGAGGGCCGAGGCAGGGACGAGCGCAGGGGCCGGGCCGGGGCAACGGGGCCGGGCGGGTGAGAGGGGCGCTACGGGGCCCAGGGAGGGGCACTACGGGGCCCAGGAGGGGCGCGACGGGGCCCAGGAGGGGCGCGACGGGGCCCAGGAGGGGCGCGACGGGGCCCAGGAGGGGCGCTACGGGGCCCACGAAGGGCGCGACGGGGCTAGGGAGGGAGCGGAAGCGGTAGGTGGGGGGGGGGGATCCTACCTACGCGTGATACCATATCAGAATTGGAGAAGTGAATTATTGTTAGAGGGAGGCTAAGTGTTGTACCCTCTAAGAGGCTACCCTATACAGTCTATACAAACATGACAAATACACATGTTTGACAGGAGGAGCGAAGGCTCGATCCCAGGTGGCAAACTTCCCATCCTATCAGCGAATTCTGCGGTCTCGAATCTGTTCAAGGTCTGGAGACACAATCTTGGCCGTCGTTTGACTTTTTTTATAACCATTACAAATCCTTGCGATTGAGTTTCCATCAAATCCTCACTTTGATTGGCTAGCACCAGATTGAACCAATCAGATTCGCACATGTCGTGGTAGCTTGCATTTTGCGCAGGGTAGACTGTGGGGGCCTGAATACTCTGAAGAACAAAGATGTAAACGAAGAACACAACTACACGCTGAAATAAAGATTCCGCATGTGTACGAGATATGACCCATGTAATTTATTTCCAGGTTTCCTTAGAAGACCCATCCCCAAAATTCATTAGAGTCATACATCCGGCAGGCGTTTACGGTACTATCGGTTTGTTTTTTACGTTGTGAGATCTGTCGTATAATATTTTGTTGTTTTGCGTGCTCTCAAATGCTTATAATTGAATCATACACATGAACATTGATTTCCAGAGTAGCAACTACAGCTACACCCGGTGTCTCGACTTTGATAGAAACATTCCCATCGGTTGAGGATCAGAGGTGGGGGGGAGGGGGGAAGCGGTGGTGATGGAGGCGGGGGAAGTGGAGGAGAAGGGGGTGGTTGGGGAGGGGAAGGCGGAGGGAGAGGAGGTGGGGAGGGTGGTGGTTGGGGAGGGGAGGGCGGAGGGAGAGGAGGTGGGGAGGGTGGTGGTTGGGGAGGGGAGGGCGGAGGGAGAGGAGGTGGGGAGGGTGGTGGTTGGGGAGGGGAGGGCGGAGGGAGAGGAGGTGGGGAGGGTGGTGGTGAGTCGGGAGAAGGGGGAGGAGGAAAAGGAGGTGGAGAGGGTGGTGGTTCGGAAGAGGAGGGAGGAGGGAGAGGAGGTGGGGAGGGTGGTGGATCCGAGGGGGGAGGAGAGAGAGGAGATGGCGAGGGTGGAGGATCGGAGGGGGGAGGAGAGAGAGAAGATGGGGAGGGTGGTGGATCAGAGGGGGGAGAGAGAGATGGGGAGGGCGGTGGATCGGAAGAGGAGGGTGGGTATGATGGTGGAGGGGGGGAGACCGGGGAAGTGAGGCAGAAAGAGGACGTGATGGGGGGGGGGAAGGGGGAGAAAGTGGGGGAGGGAGAGGTGGAGGGGAAGGTGGAGGAGGGGAAGCGGGAGGAGGGGAAGGGGAGGAGGGGAAGGGGGAGGAGGGGAAGGGGAGGAGGGGAAGGGGGAGGAGGGAAGGGGGAGGAGGGGAAGGGGGAGGAGGGGAAGGGGGAGGAGGGGAAGGGGGAGGAGGGGAAGGGGAGGAGGGGAAGGGGGAGGAGGGGAAGGGGGAGGAGGGGAAGGGGGAAGTGAGGAGAAGGAATCAGAGGGAGGAGGAAAAAGGGGGTAGGTTGTGGGGGAGGGAGGGGATGGTGGGGGAGGCGAGGGAGGAGGAGGAGAAAGAGGGGGAGCGGGAGGGGAAGGAGGGGAGAGGGAGGAGAAAGAGGAGAGGGTGGAGATGGACGGGGTGGAGAGGGAGGAGGGGAAGACGGGGCAAGGGGAGGAGGAGATGGAGGGGGTGGGGAGGGGGGTGGAGATGGGGGAGGGGAGGGGGGTGGAGATGGGGGAGGGGAGGGGGGTGGAGATGGGGGAGGGGAGGGGGGTGGAGATGGGGGAGGGAGGGGGTGGAGATGGGGGAGGGGAGGGGGTGGAGATGGGGGAGGGGAGGGGGGTGGAGATGGGGGAGGGAGGGGTGGGGACGGGGGAGGAGAGGGCGGTGCAGGAGGTGTTGGAGGAGGGGGGTTCGGTGGAGGGGGGGAGGGAGGGGAAGGTGGCCGGGGGGGGGGCGATGGGCTCACTGTGATCGATGCGGGAAGTACGTAATCCAAGGAGCAGAAGGGGAGGGGAGAGGGGGAGGGGATGACAAGGAGGAAGAGAGTGAGGAAAAGGAGAGTACTAGTGCAAGGCAATTCTAATACTATGCGAGGGGCGATATGGGGCAGTGTGGATGCCTGGCACTGTGGGATCACAAATGGCTTAGGAGGGCCGCAGGGTGAAAGATCATAGCGACACGGCAGGACTGTTGAGTTAAACCACACAAGATCATAGCGACATGACTGTTGAAGTGAACGCAAGTCAGAAGAGACACAGCACATGCCACCCCATTACCTTTTGCAGCACGTGCCACCCCATTACCTTTCTCAATGCACGACATGCGATCAGCCGAAACAAAGTATCTCGAGGAGGAGCAACTGCATCCGAACACCACCGGCACCTGCTGCTGCTGCTTCTGCCCTCCTGCCCCCGCCCCCCCTCCTTTCACTGGTTTCTTCCCAGAGTATGTGACTGAAGCCATGCAGGTGCCCACGCCAAAGCTGCACTGGGCGTTGCTCAGCGCCCCCCCTGTTTGGCTGAAACTCGTTCCACAGAAGCTCTGGCACTGGGCTGCCGTTCGCTGCGGTTGAATCACACTCTGTACTGTCACAGCTGGAGGGGGGGAGGGAGGAGGAGGAGGGGGTGGTGATGGTGGTGGTGCTTGTGGTCGTGGTGGTGGTGGTGGCTGTTTTTGCGGTTTCTTCTTGCGAATTCGACCTGCTGCTATCACTGCCAAGCGCCGTGCATGCTCCAGCGGCTCTGCAGACTGCTCATAAGTCCCATCACCCTTCCACCTCCCTGCCTCTGCAGTCGGCTCATAAGTCCCATCACCCTTCCACCTCCCTGCCTCTGCAGTCGACTCATAAGTCCCATCACCCTTCCCTGCCTCCTCTTCCTCTGCTCCCCCCTCTTCCTGTGCTGCTTCTGCTTCATCTGAGCCCTCACCCACACTCATCCCCCAAACGCTTCTCCCTCCTCTTCGCTTTCTCCCAACCCACTCTTCTCTGCGTCTTCTGCCGTTGTCTCTGCTGTTGTCTCTGCTGTTGCCTCTGCGGTTGCCCTTATGCAACGGGCCCAGCAGGTCGCCTCCCATGCTGTGGTTAATCCACCTACCACCGCCTGTCTTCCTCACCCCCCCTCCTGCAATCCCTCTTCGACCCACTCTCTCAAGACCCATCCTCTCAAGACCCATCCGGGCATGTTGTATCCTCCGCCCCCCGTGCCTCATCACTCCCATCCGGCCCATCCCCTCTTCAAGTCCAGATAGTGCCTCTTTAAAAGGTGCCTCTTTAAAAGGTGCCTCTTTAAAAGGTGCCTCGTTATGGTCTTCCCCGTTTCCCGCATGCATCAGCATGGCCATCCGCTCTTCATGTCCCAACAGCGCCCTCGTATCCTCCTCCTCAGCGTGGGATGCCAGGTGGGCACGGACGTGGGGGGGAAAGGACTCCTGAGCCGCCTCAGGCGTTACTTGCTGCTTTCCCTGCTGACGCTCACGCCCTAGCATCGCCACCCTCTCTGTGTGCCCTGAAAAAGCTGCCCTGTCTCCAGCTTCGTGGGATGCTAGGGGGGCAAGGACGTGGGAGGGGGAGGACTCTTGAACCACCTCAGCAGTTACTTGCTGCTTTCGCTGCTGTCGCTCGTGCCCTAGCATCGCCACCCTCTCTGTGTGTCCCAAAAAGGATTCCCTCTCTCCAGCCTCGAGGGATGCTAGGTGGGCACGGACGTGGGGGGGGGAAGAGGAATCCTGAACCGCCTCAGCAGTTACTCGCTGCCCTCCCTGCTGTCGCTCGCGCCATAACATCGCCACCCTCTCTGTGTGCCCCAAAAAGGCCTCAATTTCGGTGTGTCCCAAAAAGGTATCCCTTTCTCCAGCCTCATGTGATGCCAGATGGGTGCGCGAGAGAGGCTCGGTGCCTTCGAGAGAGACGTGCGCCTCAGATGCTGCTTGCTCTCCTTTCCGCTTCCCTCTGTCACCCAGCATAGCCACCCTCTCTGTGAGACCCACAAAGGGCGCCCTCTCCTTGTCCTCATGCGATGCCACATGGGCGCGCGAGAGAGACTCGGTGCCTTCGAGAGAGACGCCCGCCTCAGAATTTGATTGCTCTCGATCCCACTTCCCCCTGTCTCCCAGCATAGCCGCCCTCTCTGTGTGCCCCAAAAAGGCCGCCCTCTGATTGTCCTCATGCGATGCCAGATGGGCGCGCGAGCGAGGCTCGGTGCCTTCAAGAACGACGTGCGCCTCAGAAGTTGCTTGCTCTCCTTTCCTCTCCACCCTGTCTCCCAGCATGGCCATCCGCTCTGAGTGCCCCAAAAAGGCCTCCCTTTCTATGTGCCCCACAAACGCCTCCCTTTCTGTGTGCCCCAGAAAGGCCGCGCTCTCTTTGCCTTCATGGGATGCCAGGTGGGCAAGGACATGGGGAGAGGAGACAGCAAGATCACCAGCAGTGGTGCTATCAGGAGAGGCTTCGGCAGCAGCAATACTGGCCGTGCTGCTGCTGCTGCTGCTGCCGCTGCTCACACCAATGCTTCTAGTCGCAACAGCCCCATCACCACTCCCGCTACTAGTGTCACTGGCAGCGCTCCATATCGCGCCACTGTCACCACCGCTGCTCATACCCACGCTTCTAGTCGCAACAGCCCCATCTCCACTGCCACTACCACCGCTACTACCACCACCGTCACACGCCGAGGGGTCAAAAGTGAGGCAGTTATCGGCTGTGTTGACGGTGAGAAAGAGCGAGGGGCAGATTGGGGCGCCGGAGGAGTCGAGGGGGACGCCCGAGCCAAAGAAGAAGTTGGAGGAGAGGTCGAGCGAGAGGAGAGAAGTTGCGGAGGGGAGGGAGGGGATGAGACCAGTGAAGTAGTTGCGAGACAGGTTGCTGGGGGCGGGGAGGAAAGGGAGGGGGAGGGGGAAGGGGGGGGGGTGTGGGAGGATGGTAGGGCGGAAGAGAAAGCAAGACTTTTGAGTCGACTGAAAAGAAACGTTGTGGTTTTCAGAATTTCCGGAAAACATCTGAAATGATTCAATAAGTGATGCATAGCAGCTGCTTAGGGGCAAAGAGCGCAGTGGGCAAAGAGCGCAGTGGGCAAAGATCGCAGTGGGCAAAGAGCGCAGTGGGCAAAGAGCGCAGTGGGCAAAGAGCGCAGTGGGCAAAGAGCGCAGTGGGCAAAGAGCGCTGTGGGCAAAGAGCGCAGTGGGCAAAGAGCGCAGTGGGCAAAGAGAGCAGTGGGCAAAGAGCGCAGTGGGCAAAGAGCGCTGTGGGCAAAGAGCGCAGTGGGCAAAGAGCGCAGTGGGCAAAGAGCGCAGTGGGCAAAGAGCGCAGTGGGCAAAGAGCGCAGTGGGCAAAGAGTGCAGTGGGCAAAGAGCGCAGTGGGCAAAGAGCGCAGTGGGCTCGGAAAGCAGCACTCTTTGCAGTGGTCTTGTACGGGATTGGCAGGACCGGAGAGAGATTGTCTTTGGGGCTCACAGGTCAACAAGAGAGGAGAGGCGGTCGATGATCGTGGCAGGAGCGCCAGTCAAGGCATTCGCAGTGGAAGTGGAAACAGCTTGCATAGGCTATCTCTCAGGCGCCTAGAGGACGAGGAGCAATGGGGGAGAGAAGAGGTCTCACAGGTCTACAAGCGAGGAGAGGCGGTTGATGATCGTGGCAGGAGCGCCACTGAAGGCATCTGCAGGCACGTCACTGCCACAGATGCACGGGGGGGTGGAGGGACGGAAGAATGGAGGGCGGACAGGTGGGACAGCGGAGGGAGGGGGAGAGGGAGGGAGGGAGGAATGGATGGGGAGAGGGAGGGAGGGAGGAATGGATGGGAAGAGGGAGGGAGGGAGGAATGGATGGGGAGAGGGAGGGAGGGAGGAAAAAATATGGAGACAGTACTGACCGCACAGTGCTCGACCGTAGGTATTTGGAAGACAAACGTAGACGCACAATGGAGGCACACCTAGATGCACGATGGAGTCAAGGTCAGGCCTAGACGCACATTAGAGTTACTCCCTTCCACCAATAACTGCAAGGGTGCATCTGACTCTCAAACCTCACGCCCCTTTAGGGCATATATTCTGAAGGGGTCAAGGACCGAGCACCAAAGACAAGGCGAGAGCAGTACAGCACGAAAGGGAGGACTCACAGCGTGTAGAGCTGGGAGCAGGATGAGAGGGACTGGGGCAAGGGGCCCTGCAGCTGGTTCTGGGACAAGCGACTGGGGGGACGCAAGGGGAGAGGGAAGTTAGGCGAGGCGGGAGACGTCAAACCAAGGTGACATTTTTAGTTGAGGTGACTCAAAAGGTACTGACTGGGGGCAAGGGACCTTGCAACTAGTTCTGGGACAAGCAACTGGGAGGGAAAAGGGTTTAGGGGGACAGAGAAAGGCGTTTCAGGGTGGATGATGAAAGATGATGATGTGTGACCCTGATGTCACGCTCACATGATGCTGACATCACACTCACATGATGCTGAGGTCCGGCATGGCGCTGGTGAAGATGGGAGGGAGCGATCCTGACAGCTGATTGGCCGAGAGGTCTCTGTGGGAGAGAGATTAATGTGGATGTGCAGATATGGGCAGAGCGGGGAGGTGAGTAAAGGAATTAGAGAATATTCCCCCAGTTGAAAGAAGAGGGGTATCGCAGTCGCTGACTTTTGAGTCGACTCAAAAGTCACCTCACAGGACGAGAGTCTAGCTTTGAGGCGCCTCAAAACTAGTCACTTCTTATGTGGGTGTGCGGGCGGGTGTGAGTGAACCGGGAGGGAGGTGAGTAAAGGAATTTGATAATATTCTCCCTGTCGCTGGACATGGGCTGGGAAGCATGTCGTATGGAGAGGGATATGGCAGGCAAACAAATGGAGATTGATGGAGGACAAGTGAGATGCATATGCATGGGATGGAGACACGAGTTAAGCTGACGGTTTCGGGTCTAGTGAGATGCATATGGATGGAGACACGTGCTTCACATGCTTGTCTCTCTATGCCACGTGCTTCACATGTTTGTCTTGTCTCCCTATGCCACGTGCTTCACATGCTTGTCTCTCTATGCCACGTGCTTCACATGTTTGTCTTGTCTCCCTATGCTACGTGCTTCACATGCTTGTCTCTCTATGCCACGTGCTTCACATGCTTGTCTCTCTATGCCACGTGCTTCACATGCTTGTCTCTCTATGACACGTGCTTCACATGCTTGTCTCACATCTCATAGAGAGACAGCAGGTTGGACAGGTCAGATGGTATGGATCCTTCCAGGAAGTTGCCATTGAGTAGCCTGCAGGAAAAAATGAGGGGAATGAGGAGAAGGAAGTGGGGCAGCGATTTGAGGAGAAACCCAAACCCCAGCAATGCACTGCTAGTACTTAAACGAAGCGATACTACTCTCTAAGTAAACCAAGGATTGTGACAGGAGGCTGGAACGAGAGGAGACGAGGCTGGGACGAGACGGGACAAAGCTGGGACGAGACGAGACTGGTCACTGGAGGAAAGAGAGACACCATAACACAAAAGGCCTGTAAGGGAAGGGGCAAACGCCTGTGAACAGCAGCATAAGAGAAAACGCATGTATAATCTCTTGTAGGTCACTAAGAGATGTGCTTACAACGAGGTGAGCTCTTGAAGAGTGGAGAGGGCTGAGGGAATGGAGCCCATGAGGGCGCTGCAAGAGAGCGCTCTGGGGAGGTGAGAGGGCGGAGAGAGCGGAGAGAAGGCGGTGAGAGGATGGTGAGAAAGCGCTCTGGAGGGGTGAGAGGGGGGGGAGAGCGGAGAGAAGGCGGGAGGGGTGTGGAGAAGGACAGAGGGAGAGAAGAAAGTGCAGGGTAAGAGAAGCAGCATCAACATTAAGGGCCGATGGGGAAAACACGATTGGTTGATCCATATCAGGACGTGCAAGCATGAAGGGGCTATTAAGACGATCCGTGAGGCGCCTGTGCTTTTTAGCATTCTCCCTTAGAGTGGTGTCCTTGAGAATTCAAAAAAGCACAGCCGCCCTGAGGGGCAGAGGGAGGGAGACAAGGGGGGTGTGGGGGGGTCCATAGAGAGCCGTGAGGCGAGAGGTGCGTACAAGTGCTGCAGTCGTGTGAGTGCAGAGGGGGACGCAGGGAGGTGTTGTGTGACGTTGTTACGAGGTGGCTTCTGAGTCGGCTCAAAAGCCATAGAGAGCCGTGAGGCGAGAGGCGTGTACAAGTGTTGCAGTCGTGCAAGAGCAGAGAGGCTAGTTTTGAGGCGCCTCAAAACGAGAATCTTATCACGCGGGTCACGTACAAGTGTTGCAGTCGTGCGAGCGCAGAGATGGACGCAGGGAGGGATGATGAAAAGCGGTTATTGCACGTCGAACTGAGCGGCGGAACGGGGTTTGAGGACAAGGGGCGTGTGGGGGAGGGGGGGGTGGGGGGAGAAGAAGGGGGTGTGGGGGAGGGCGAGAAGAGGGGGGTTTGGAGGGAGGAAAGGAGGGATGGGATTTAGGCATGTCAAAATCGGACTGGGAGCAAGAGGTTCCCGAAGGCCGTCAGCTTATATGTGTGTCACATACGTATATGAATCTTTATCTACTCATGCCATAGCGATATACTGAAAGTGGATGAGAGGAAGTTACAAGTGGGTTAAAGAGAAAAGGTTGCCCAGGGTTGATGGAAGTGAGCCGGAGAGTGCGTTGTCGTCCAGAGCCCTGTGACACGGGAGTGCAATAAGAGGGAGATGAGAGGGAATTGAGAGGGCGATGAGAGGGAAATGAGAGGGCGATGATAGGGCGATGAGAGGGTGATGAGAGGGCAGCGGTATGCAGACAGTTCACACTCTCTCATTTCAAGATGTACACCATAAGCTGTATCGCCTGCAGATACGCCGTAAGTTGTATCTCCTGCAGATACGCGGTAAGCTGTGGAGAAACAAATAAAGGAAGCGAAACTCTAGAGAGAGCTCAAGCATGCACGGGGGAGTGCAAGCAAGCAGCCCTCACTCTTCCACTCCCTAAACCCAAAACCCTGAATTCTGCACCGCACTTCTCTGCATTGCAATTCACAGCGCTCACAGGTGCTTCAGGGCTGGAAGCAGGAGGTTGGAGGGGATGGGCCCTGTGAGGGCATTGCGCTGGAGATAGCTGGCGGTCGGGGGAGAGGGGAGATTGTTTGTGAGAGCATTAATAAATACACTGACGGAAAGAATTGTCCACATGTTTTGCAATTTTCCGAATTTCCACAGTTAAAGGGCATTTGTACATTAAGCCTTAATTGGAGGCATTACCCACTATATGCAGGCCAATCTAGGGACACAAAAAAATGCTTCACATTTGATGAAACTACTATCGTTAACAGTAAGAAGTATTCATAACCAATCACGGTGCATGTGGACAATTAGTTCCAAGCGGAAGCAGCAACTCGAACAACCCTTAAACTAGTACCTGGTCCACCGCCCTTTAGCCCTAATTACTGCTTTCACCCTCCTGGGCATGCTGTCGATCAAATTGGAGCACACCCCTGATGGGATCTTCTCCCACTCCTCTTGTACACGCTCCCACAGGTCCACCATTCCAGTGGGAGGTGTCTCATGCTTACCCAGCTCCCTTTTAAGATGAGCCCAAAGATGCTCAATGGGGTTCAGATCAGGACTTCCTGCCGGCCACTCCAGGACCCCATACTCCTGCTCCTGAAGCCAATGCTGCACCACACGGGACTTATGCTTGGGGTCGTTATCATGCTGGAAGATCACATCCGAGGGGGTTAGCTTGTAAAAGTCGATGGTATTCTTCAGCTCGTCTTGCAAAATGCTCAGATACAGCGGCCCATCCATCCGACCATCGATTTTGCACATGAAACCCACCCCCTCAAACGTCACACATCCCCAGATCATCAAGCCGCCGCCCCCGTGTTTGACGGTTTGCTTGATCTGGTGGTGTTGGAGAGTCGTACCTTCACGAACCCAGGCGTACACGCGGCCGTCAGAGCAGAACCTACTAATCCTCGTCTCATCCGACCATATCACCCGTCGCCAATCATCTATGGTCCAATCCGCGTGGGCCCGTGCGAACGCCAGCCTATCGCGGATATTTGAGCATTCTAGAATGCACACTCCATGCACGAAAGAGTGGTCACTGACAAGTGGTGGGTGCCGGCAGGTGGTGGGTGCTGGCAGGTGGTGGGTGCTGGCAGGTGGTGGGTGCTGGCAGGTGGTGGGTGCTGGCAGGTGGTGGGTGCTGGCAGGTGGTGGGTGCTGGCAGGTGGTGGGTGCTGGCAGGTGGTGGGTGCTGGCAGGTGGTGGGTGCTGGCAGGTGGTGGGTGCTGACAGGTGGGTGCTCACAGTTGGGTTAAGTTAGTGAGCTTGCCAACAGCCGAGGGGACAGAGCCGGTGAGGTGGTTGTAGTCTGCGCGCCTGCAGGGTAGGAGGGCACGCGTTGGGAGCATTGAGCACACGGGGCGTGGGGTCCGTGTGCGCATGGGATGCAGGGGGTGCAGGGGTGCATGGGGTGCAGGGGTGCATGGGTGCATGGGTGCATGCATGGGGTGCATGGGGTGCATGGGGTGGGGACAGAGTGACGACAAAGTCGCTAAGGGTGAGGCCAGCGTTTGGAGACCAAAGAAGGTGTCACGGGCAGTGGTTAGGCGGTCAGGGAGGCGCGTGGCTAGGATATAAAGCGTCGCGCCGAGGGGGGGAGGAAGTACAGTGAGCTGAGCCTCAGTGCTAGCAGCGCGGTAGCTAGTCTCTACAGCGCGCAGGTGGGTGGCGAGATCTGCGACAGTGGGGAAGGAAGCAAAGTCAGTGAAGAGTAGGGGCAGGAGGAGACGGCCAGCAGAGGGGGAGGAGGGAGTGGAATAGCAAGCAATAACAGCGTCTAGGTACTCCTTCTCTGTCTCTAGGGCCTGAAAGCGGGGACTCGGACAATGGGAGAGCGTGAATGATAGCTAGCAGCGCAATGGCGCCACGAGAGAGAGCGGGCGAGCTCAGCAGCGGTGAAAGCCTCACCCTCCGCATTCGTGGGGTTGTCAGGTAGGGCAGCAGGCATGGGGGGGCAGGGCAGCTTACCGTGGACATGGATGGCCATCCTGGCGCTGACCCTTCAGCTGGCAACGCAGGTCGGCGAGCCACGCCTCGAAATCCACCGCATGACCCTCCGCATCCAGGTGGAGAACGGCGTCCATCACGCACAGCTACAGCAGCCGGAGAGCTTTGGGGGAGGAGGAGCAGGGAGCAGGTTGGTGCGATGGAGTGCGGTGAAAAGCCGTGGAGTGTGGTGGAGTGCGGTGGAGTGCGATGGGGTGCGGTGGAGTGCGGTGGAGTGCAGTGGAGCATGGTGACGCCACGGGAGAGGAGACAGTCGGCGGGGGCGCCGGCGCCAAGGAGAAACCAGGGCCGGTAGCGAGCAGGGGCCGGCGCGGTGAGCAGGGGCCGGCGTGGCGAGCTGGGGCTGCGCGGCGAGCTGGGGCCGGCGCGGCGAGCTAGGGCCGACGTGGCGAGCTGGAGCGGCGCGGCGAGCTAGGGCCGACGCGGCAAGCTGTGGCGGCGCGGCGGGCTGGCGCCAACGGGGCGAGCTGGGGCCGGCGGTGAGCTGAGGGTCTCACGGCGAGCTGGGGCCGTCGCGGCGAGCTAGGGACGACGTGGCTAGCTAGGGCGGCGCGGCAAGACATGGCCGACGTGGCGAGCTGGGGCCAGCAGCGAGCTGGTGGTCACGCATCGAGCTGGGGCCGTCGCGGCGAGCGAGGACGGCGCGGCGAGACGGGGCCGACGCGGCGAGCTGGGGCCAGCGCGGCAGGCTAGGGGCCAACGCGGCATGGCGAGCTAGGGGCTGATGCGACGCGGCGTGGCAGGCTAGGGGCCAGCGCGGCGCGGCGAAGGCCAGCGCGGTGTGGGGGGCTAGGGCAGGCGCGGCGAGCTAGGGTAGGGGCGCTACGGTAGGCTAGGGCGGAAGCAAGCATAGTCTACGCTTCAAATTCATTGGTTAGGGTGGTGTGGTGGTGGTGGTAGTTGTGAAGCAAGCATAGTCTACACTCCAAATTCATTGCTTTGCAGAACCGGATCTGATCACATTGCCGTTCCATTCCATCCACCGTATAAATACCGTAAACGCCCGGATATAAGTAACGTTTTATTGAGCACCCATTGGGTCTTTTTGGCGGGTGGGTCTTCAGTCGTGGTAGTCGACTAAGCAGACCCCCCCCCTTTTCAGTGTTGCCGGGATAAGACCCCCGTGTATTTTTTCCGTGACTCCGCAGCAAGAAGCTAGTACAGATGGAGGAGAGCGTTTTCCCGCAGCAAAAAGAAAATGCTAAGGGGAGTGA